AATTATTTTACCAGGTGAAAGTGTTTGAGCGCCAGTTCTCATGTCACCGTCTGCAGTCTGATGATGCTCCTATCATTCACTCTATGGAGTTTATATAGATGCCGGTGCCCTCTGGTGGCCAAAGTCTGAAACTGCAACATGTAAAGTCAGCGAGATTGCGGATAAGCTGCACATCCTAAACTCCTACAAAGTAAAACCCCTCCAAATTTTAATATGTATTTTCGAACCAATTACAACTTGATTTTTAGAAGAGCCGTCGGTTCGAACCAAACTGAATTAGCGTTAGCTCGCTTCTTCCCTTATTCTGAACATTGTTTTCGTCCTCGAAAAGCCAAAATGAATAATTAGTCTCTATTTTAGCAAATTATAAAACCCTGAGCTGCCTCCCCAAAGGCTGAGCTGAGCTGCTGCCGAGCGTCTCCTCTCTGCCACGGATCGCTTCATTACCGCGACCTGAGTGGCTTTAAAATAAATCCTCTCTCAGGGACGGAGCTGTAGTTTTAATGTGTGACTGTCTGACTTCCGCTAATAAAAGCCTCTTGTTCACTGGGAGCTGCAGCGCTGCAGCCTCAGAGCAGGGGGCGCTTCTGCCCACTAGTGGCCACAAGCGGAAACTACATAATTAAGTCTGCTACATTACGGATGAGCAGCACTTCCAACAAACTCCTTCAACGTAAAATCACCACAATTCTATTGTTTTAACGAAAGTATTACGACGTGATATTGGGAGACTCAGAAGAACCTCCGATGTAAAGCAAGTTGTATTTTCAACGATCGCTAGCTTCTCCATTTGCTGTAATTAATTTTGTTGTCCTCTAAACAGGGTCCAAATGAAAATCGAACACATGTAGCTAACGACTGATGGACAACTGCATCCATGACGGCATTGTTAGCCCAGCTAGCAGCAGTGCTAACAAGCTCTTCCACCATTTTAGTGAGTTGCAAAGCTTTACTGAGGGATTGTGTCGACCTGATGATCACTAATCAGCTGCTTTATTAGACGCAGGTAACGAGCTAGCTCTGATGCTACTTAGGCTACAACCTCAGCCTGACAGGGATCAGCAGCTTTGACAGAGATGCTGGTTGTAGCTTCTAATTAAGAAGCTGATTCACGATGACTGGGGGACAGTATCCCACAGTAAAACATGACAAGTTAACTAAACTGCAGCTACAACGCTTTTCCTTCCAGGTGTATTTTGAAAGCTACTTACTTTACCTGAATGGCGATCTGTATTGTGGAGGAGCTCGTTAGCACTTCTGCTAGCTCTGCTAGCTCTGCCTTAACAGATGCAGTTGTAGATTTTTTTCATTAAATACATTATGGATTAATTTTCCATTTGACTGAGACTACAACAGATATAAGTAGAACGAGTAGCGGTCGTTCAATGGTATTTAGTTTATATCGGAGATCGTTCCGAGTCTCTCAAAATCACTGAGTGATAATTTCGTTAAAACAATAGCATTATGAGGCTTTTACTTTGAAAGAGTTGATAGTAAGTGCTGCTCATCTGTAATGTCGCCAACTTTCCGTTTCATATGGTAGTTACAGCTTATGGCCGCTAGAGGGCAGAAACGCCCCCTGCTCTGACTGAACATCCTACGTGAGGCTGCAGCTCGCTGGTGAGCGGCTCCAGGGTTAGCCGAGCTAGCAGCAGTGCTAACTGTTTTGTCACGGATCGCAGTAAAGTAACGAACATTAAAGTAAATGAAGTTATCTGTGAGATCCACAGGTGTAATCACATCTTTTGTTAGGGTGTAATGTTTTACTCCTTAACCACGTAACTTGATTGTAGTGAAATT